GGAGAGGAGAGGAGAGGAGAGGAGAGGAGAGAGAAAAAGTAGAAGCTAGTCAAGCATAGTCTAGCTACGCACTGGGAGGAATGTTCTGAAAAAGATTCAAACACTGGAAAAGAACTTGTAATGAATGTCCTTTCAGAGCTAAAGTTCTATGATTCTTGCTCACCAGTTACAGGTGTGGCCACTTAAAGAGAAAAAACAAACAAACCGTGGTCCAAATATCTTAAATCTACAAAGCAGACACTCACTTTGCAAAAAGGGTGCGTTTCAATAAAGAACTAAAGTATATTTTAAATGTTTGTTTCCAAGCCATTAACTATCTAACCAAAAATAAAGGGGAGGGAAGAATGAGGGACTTCAAGGTAACGCTGAAGGACCCAGTGCCAAATGAAGCCCCATCATAAATGAAGAGCTTGTGTCAGAAAAAAGGAAGCCAGAGAGTCAATTTCCCCACACATTCCTCAAATGCCTCTATTTTTTAATGATATGTTAATAAAACAGATGAATATCATAAAAATCATGGAGTTTGGGGTTTATGTGAAATCACAAGACTTCGGCCTCTCAATCCCCCAGCTAATATCAGCCAATAGATTCAACTTTCAGACACTTTCGAAGAAAGACAGCAAGCCTGGGCTGAAGGTTATCTTAGAACATATTCCTAGAAAAAACAAACTCCGTGGAGTGGTTCCTAATCCAGATGATCATCTATTCCCCTTTCAGCATAAGAATGGATTTTAACGAGTTTTGTTTTATGAACATTCCCGTGGCTCAACACATCTGTGAGGAGACACAACACTACCCCGTGGCTCTCATCCTGTTTGCTAACTAATTATATCAACAACCTGAACCAACTTAACACTATGCAAAAACACAGCTGATTTAGCAATCTGTAAATTATACATGTACATAAATCTGGACCCAAATGTGCTGCGCCTCACTCCTGCTAATGTGCATGGATTCTTACTGGCACCTACAACTGTTTGATATAGGTTTCCGAGTACTAAAACATATGCTCTCCTCAAATGGGACCACTTAGGGTAATATTTTTGTAGTTTCCTGGCACTGAGGTCTGCCAGCCTCCCTAAGCCAGATCTCCTATTTGCTTCAGCAAGCATTCAGAAAAGTAAGTGCCTGAAGATTTAAGCAACAATCAAAAAATATACTGGACTTTCCGATATGAATCTGACGAGAAGCAGGCTGGCTCTGTGTCAACAAAGTCAACATAAAGATTTGAAACGATGGGCAATATGACCCTACACAAAATCAAATCAAATCTGGCCCGTTCCTGCTGATTACTTACAACTACTCAATTAAGAGATAATTATCAAATCTCTTCAAATGGTATTCCAAATGTATCCAAGAAGGTTAAACTGGATTCTAATCCCATCAAGACCAATAAACACCTTTAAAATGTGGATTTTTTTTTTAATCCAATGTCAAGCCAGGAAACGTTGTGGAACAGGGGTAAGATCCTTGGACCAAGACTCACTAGAATGTAACTTACCCAGTTACATTCTCTCTACATCCCCAGTGTTCCATAGTATCTCAATAAATCTTTGTGGAATGAATGAGCCAGTCACAACTGCTGAATAGTCCCTGAGCTGCCTTTTACTGCCATTTCTAATGCTCCTTCTTCCTAACTAAGCATAAGTAAATTATTTAACCTGAGGATTCTTAGTTCCTGAAACTCTGAAATGGAAACACTGCACCTCCTTTGCTGTCTTATGAGGATCAAAGATAATATTTTATGAAAAGTGACTTAATATTTCATAACAGGCACATGAATGTTATCCTGCCAAACCACTGGCAAAGGTAAAACTACCGCCCTCCCTTGAAACAGAATTAGCTTCTCCTTTGCCCTGTTATTCTGTTTGGATGTGGTAGCGTGGCCGTTAGCCAAAATGGATGTTGTTCTTGTTGTTATAACATTTTATTTCATCTCCACTGGGAAATTACGCTTCTCTAGAGAAAACAATGGTAATACAAGGAAGGTCATCGCATGGTGGACCCTAAGGAGCGTGACACAGGGGTCAAGAGGCTGAGGGCCTCATCAGTTCTGCCCTTAATTATTTGAAGAAAAGCTGTGCTTCAGTTTTTTCATCTATACAATGATGGGGAAGGAGGACAGACTCGATCCAAGGTCTCTTACCCTACAGTTCTAAGACATTCCAGACACCAGATATTCAAATGCCCCAAAACAAAGTCAGTTCTGTTATCCATTAGCATATAATGAGAACAGTGTTTTTGAGGATGATGAAAACAGTTCCACCACCGAAGTCATAATGTCTGAGCAACAATGATGCTACAACAAAAGATGAATGCTATCCTCAGAGAACACCCACCTCAGGCACTATGTGCCTGCCACCTTGAATGTCACTCAATATTCATGGGACTCAGTTTTCTGGTCTTTAAAAGAGAAACAAAAATGCTGCATAAAACCACTGGGAGAAAATACCTTAAAAAAAAGTGATCAAAAAGTAGTGCTATTTAAAGGTAAAATGCTATTTAAAAGACTGTAATGCCCAAAACAAGGCCGGTGGATTTTAGAAGACAATCAATATTTATAAATAGACCTTTTCCATCACAATAAAATAATACAATGCATGTAGATATTGTGGTATTTCCAAGAGTCCACTTTTTTTTTCTATTTGTGTTCAGGAGATATTATGAAAGAGATCACTACAAATTTAAATTCCACGTTTCAAGATCAGAATCTTTTTCTCTGAAATAATACATAATATTGAAAGTTCATCCACCTCTCCCAACATGTTTCTGTTTTTGCTGTTGATGCTGTTTGGTTGGTTGGTTGGTTAATTGAAGTCAAGCTTTTGGAAGTGGTGCTGAAATTAAAGTGCCAGTACTGATAATACTCCCAGCTAGTTATTCTATTGAGGTTCTACATATGCCTACAGAGGGGAAGGGTTAGTCTAAGATCCACTAAACTAGAAGATATTCTACCTTCTCCGCTTCAGGGTTGTTTTCAATTGTGGTACCAGCTTCAGGATTCTTTTTTGAAATTTTTATTTTATTGTGGTATTAGCTCCAGGATTCTTAAGTTCCTCCTACCAAGCCCAAGGAACCTTGTGACTATTACATGAAGACTCCTTACTGCTCTCTCCATTCAAAAACATAACATGGTCTACATTAGATACAGGGTTTCCCCTCTCACTTAAAGGACTCTGCCTCTTCACAAAAAAATAAAATAAAAATAAAAATAAATGAAATTGTCATTGATACTTATGAGAAAGTTGATGTCTCTGGCAAGGGGGTCCCCAAATCTGCAAGACTGCCTCCATACCCCCTCACAGGCCAATAACAATACCAATCACAGTACGTTAAACTCTTAAACAGTGATTTTATGTTAAAACCTATGAACACCTCCAGCATTTTTATGGCAGAAGAGTTCATTGTGGCTTTTCGTGTAGTAATTGGAACCCCCTTGCATCCCCGGGTAATGGCTGTGACCTTGCTCTAAAAGCCACCTTAGTTAGTTTGCGTCAGGAAGACCTTAAAAGAAAAGGGGACTGACCAGAAACTCTTCAATAATCTTCTTCGTGAGCCGCACATAATAAATGGCCATTCATTCCTAAGAAGTACTGAACACATGATGATTTGCTACCCTCGTTACGTTTTTTATTATAAGATAAACTTAAATCACTTTGGAATTAAAGAGTCTTTCTTAGTAGCATAAGTCACTTTTCATGCCCTTCCCCCAAATCCCTAACTAAATCCAAAGAGAAGCCCGTCGCTTTAACACAAGCTCCTTAAGGCTCTGAAGCCAAGATATTTGCACGTTTTTAAAAGCCATTTCCTGAGTGAGCGCTTCGGGTCCTCCTGATGAATGTCATGTCTCTGAGAGGAGAAGGTCCAGCAGTCTGTGAAGGGCTTCTTATCTGGGGCTGCTCACCTCTCCTTTGCACCTTCCAGCTGCCCTGCTCCTATTTGCTCTGCAAGCCTTTTAGCCAGGGGGGGGCTCCGCTGCCCTGAGTCCTGGGGGCATTTGAAATGCTTCCTTTCCAGCCCCAGCTCCGGGACTCTCAACCCCCCACCCTCCAGGCTACTGTCCCTCTTAATGCCCCGGGAGGGAGGGAGAGGGACGGGAAGCATCGGTTTACTGGGTAATGGCGATCTACAGGCTTGGGGAGTTTGGGAATTCGTAGGTGAGCAAGATGTCTGGGCATAAAACACTGCTGTGTTTGGAGGAGAGGATCTAAGACAGATTCGTACCTGTGACCACTTAGCCAGCTCAGCACCTGTGCCCGCCACTTCCCGCCCGAGTCCAGGAAATTCTGCCCCTCCTGGCCTTCGCTTCACCTACAAGGGGGTGGGTGGCTCGGTGAAGAGGTGGAATCGGGCAGCCTGCTGCATGCACATCCCTAAGTCCCCGCGCCCCCACACCTCGGACTTTTCTGCCTGTCGGGATGGAAGGTGGACGCGGCCGGAGCTGCCCGACCCCACAGCTGGCTTCCCCGGTGGGGAGGCGGCGCCGCGGGGAGCAGCAGCCGGCGCCCCGAGAGCCTTCGCGGAGGGTGGGCTGTACTCCTGGGGCGTCCAGCTTCCCATCACTTTTCCCCGTACTTTGCTCACCAGCTGCCACGCTCCCTGGAGAGGACCAAGAAGGCGGGAGAAAGGCCCACAAGGCACCCCCGGGACACCTCTCCTCCTGGGATGGGGACCCATCAGACGCCGCCCCGCCTGCCCACCTCTCCCTGCC